AGGTTTCAATGGATAAAGGCGGTAATTAATAGACATACTGACGGCAACCCATGGGAGACCCTATAACTCGTCGCTTGGCTGACATAAGGGCGTAACTGCACATTGAGATGAGCCCGGAAAAGCATTGTCTTATATGGACGATAGGGCTCATTGCCAAGTGTAGTTGCGCCCTTATGCCAGGAAGGTGATGAATTAGTCCATCAGTGCCCCCCTTAGTTTAAAATAACTTTCAACCAAGAGGATCCTTCCATTTTCCTTTTATCTTCTTTATCTATCGCTTTTTCTATCGATTTCAGCAATCAAACCTGGTTAAATCAATTCAATTGTGTAATTAAAAAAATACACTGAATTACAATGGGAAGAGTGCTGATTTGTCAACACAATTTGGCGACAAGCATTGCATTTGTGGAATGAAAACTGTATAATTTTAAGCCGAATTATGCGGGGAAAAGTGTTACTTTATCAGTACAATCTTGCAATCATGATAGGGATGGATGGAATTCGAGTCGGGCCAAGCGAACATACGATTTGACGACGCTGAAATCGGCGCCGCTCTCACGAAAGGGTGCAATTCCATTTTGGGATAAGCCCCACTGTCCATTTGACTCCATGTAATCGAGGTTTCACGTAGAAATTGAGTTAAGCTCTTCTGACAGAATAGCGACGAAATGTTAGTTATGCCCGGTAACAACGCTCCAGGGCCTAGCTGGATATTTATTTTTTCAATCCACGCTCGGACCCTCCGGACATGCCGCACCGATCGTCCTGGCGTTGCCAAATCGATCTCCATGCTTGAAATGCAGCATTGCAATGCAACTGCACAAAATAAACGTTAACAAAGATAAAGGTTACTGAAGTTTAAAGGGTACTGTCATAGGGTTTACTGAAGTTTTGGACTGCAAATCAAAAATTCAAAAATAAAAAGCCCCAATTGAACTAAAACCACTCGAACAATAACCATATAACTCCACAGTAGTGCAATGCTCGACTGAGCTGCTCGGGACCGTTTGGAAACGGAATTTTTGTTGAGAAATTGGACCAAATTTTGCAATAAGGAACCACAATTTTAGGTTAATTTGAGAACCAACGTATATATCATTCATTCCACTATGTAGATAGGTGCATGACCGCCCAATTTTCAGGGATTGACTGAACGCTCTTTAATCATCTTTGTATAACATTTGAATATCTGCTTTAATGGAAAAAGGTCGTGAATTCCGAGCCAAGTTGCCTACGGCAGTACGAGTATTTCATCGGTTTTAGTTCTAGTTGCACATCGAGGAACTTGATCTCATTCTCCCTAGTTCGCCTTCAATAAGCTGGTAGGCAATGTGAGCGACTCAGGAGCGGTAATAGTTTCTTGCAGCAGTTTGAGTATTTGATCGATTTCAGTTATATCAACCCCAAATTACGGAACGCAGCGATCATTCTCATTAGTTCACCCTCAATAATCCGGTAGGCAATGTAATGTCAGCAGCTCCGCGAGCGAATCTGAGACCTAAACGGTTCCGGACCTAACTGTTCCTTGCAAAACGAAATACCTCTGAACGGCATTTTCCCGGAAGAACTCGCCATCCGAGAAAATTGTGAGTTATTTTCGAACTCACCCCTTCACGATGGGACTATTCCTTGCATAGCGGCCAGAATTTCCATTGAAAAATTGGCTATCCCGGGAAATCGGTGGGCTATTTCCGTACTCAAGGGTTCTAAATACACCACAAGTGCGGGACATTTTTGACCTATATTTCCCTAGAACTGTATATTATTAGAGCACTATATGGAAGCAGGAGCCGGGCCGGATGGCCGGATGCTCGAGGCCAAACTGCCGTGCTGAGGACAAACGTCATGTGAGCCTTCAGGCGTTGTCAAATTTCCTTAAATGAATCACGAATTTTCGGGCAAATTTTTATACTTTTTTCCTCCAATTTTCAGATAATTTTGTTCACAATTTCACCTAAATTTCCAGAAAATTTCAAGGAAACATATCCACAGATTTCTTCACAAATAAACATTTTACTATAGGAAATTTGGCAACTCTCGAATGTTGATACGGCGTTGTTCCTTAGGACGGGAGCAAAGGCGGCAAGCGCACGAACATGAGTCAAACTTGGAGTATCGGTTTCTAATCGATACGACGGGCCCGGTTTTACGGGCCGCGAGTTTGGGCTCGGGCGAGCCGCGCGCCAGTTGGGCAATGTCCCGTGTCATAAAGAGCGGTCCGCCGCGCCGTCCGGTCCGTCGCCGGTTGGGTAGCCTCCCGTTTCATACCTAATATGGTCCTCCGCCTATGGTCGCGCCTAATTGCTTTCGGAACAAGGTGTTGCGCCGCGCGGTAGGACCACGTGCCCGACCACCGTCCGACTTGGGGTCGGCCTCCTTCGGGAGTCGCTCCTCTCGTGTCCGCAACTTTCGGAGTTTACCCACTTCGGATGGGGAAAAGTCATTTGACAGCATGGTGTCTAGGACCGGGGTAACCGGGATTCATCAGTAAATGGGTCCCTAAGCCTTGTGTTTTTTATTTGGACGTATTTTTATCAAACGGAAATAAGCGCCAATTTGAGTTCCTTTTGAGGAATTTAGAATCCCGGATAGCGCGTTCTGTCAAACGGACCTAAGCGCCATGGAAAAGCATTGCGAGTATAGGACGGAATAAGCCGGACGTCCGATTCATCCGCCAATCCAAGCCCCCCTCTACCCTCCTCACCCTATGGCGTTTAGGTCCATTTGATAGAAATACGTCCGTTTAATATTCTGAAAGTACCATGTGAGTAAATCACGCGGTGAATGGGTTACTAAACTTAGATTGAATTTTGACTTGCGAATACATTTTCTGAAGGTGAATGACGCGTAGAATACGATGCGCACATTGAACACGCGAAAAGCAACTCAGTAACCGAGAAATGCGTAGTTCAAATCGCTCATCTTATCCGCAAATTTAAAACGCCCCGGCTTTGCGCTGAACCGAATGATGTCATCCGGCACGAATTAGAAGCGAGCACGGGTTTCTACGACTTCCATCAAATGTCTGTCTACTCCTCGTATGTGGTAACAATAGTAAAGTCGAAATTATATCTTTAAAATTAAAGAATCGAATCTCATTTATGTTATCCTCAGTAAACAAGCAATAATTCCACATTGAAATACGTTACGTCACATGTACGTTACGCACACACTGCAACGTCGAAATTTAGTTACGTTCGTTTGTCTGAAGAACGACAAACCTCGGCCGGAAAAATTTAACGAAAGCTTCGAAGCCACGAGCTATTCATACAGCGGCGCAGCTTTCGTAGCCGCACGATATAGTGGTAGGTGCCCCGTGCCAACAACACCGCCTTATTACTAGAAAAGCATCAACGACCAAATTATGGAAATCGAGTCCTTTCAAAATTCCACCAATCTATGTATGTAATTTCGGTTTCATTCTGTAGTAGACAGCAGAATTTGTATTCTTTCATGACAGAACAGTAAATACAAAAGAATTGAAATCGTGTCATACCGCATATGTGCAGCAGCGTATTGTAAATTAGCGCACTCTGATGCGATGCCAGGTGCTCTCGAATTTTCCCGCGAGCAGTTTTATGATATGACAACGCACCTACTTGAATTTCATACAGGTTTTTAATTAGGCACCCACGAAGTATTCAAAGATCCCAAACTCGCAGACTCTTCGCTTCACTTCCAGCGTCAGTTTTGTCGCTCATTAATAAATTCCCGAACTTTTGTCCCGCCCACAGCCCCTATGATCTGAGCTGACATTGTCGGAATATTTTCATAAAAAAGGAAGAAGAAAAAGAAACAGGCTCAGGCAAGGAGACTCGTAATTCATTGGAGCCTTCGCGTTAGCGCTGAAATCTTTCGTGCGCTCCGAGGGAGGAAAATGCTCATATTTTACTTATCCGCGAGCGAAAAGTGAATATTGTCGGTCCATGAATAAAAAATGACGCGAAGCTTTTAATTAAATTTTTGAGTCGTTTCTCTCGCTTGCACCTATCTCCGCTGCCTGCCGAAAATGTTGGCGTCTTTTGCCCGGTTTTGTTTTTAATTCCCCGTTGTTTTCGCATCCAAGCGCCCGGGGGCCTGGAGGCCCGCGTAAAGCATGAGAGCTCTAAGTATGCGTGTACATTATAAAAAGTGTCTGCGAGTAAGCAGTTCTCTTGCACTTTGTTGCCGCGCTGTCGTTTATTTTATCTATATTTTTATTCTCTTACTCTGTAGCATCGTTTTTTCACCGTCCAAATCATTTTTTTATGCCTTGAGTCTACACAGTGGCGATCTTGCAAGTCTACGAATCCTAGATCAAAGATGTCGATGTTCAAAATCCTTCACATTTCTTCGAAGGGGCCAAGTAGATTTTTGTTTTGGGGGTTAGGGGGCGTGTCGAAGTCTAGGGATTTATCCTATATCCAGGGATTTTTCAGCATTTCTAGGGATCTAGAGATTTTTTCAGACTAGGCAATAAAAAGTCAGGAAAAACGGCTCTGTAACCCTCAATTTTAGCTTTGACTCGACATAAAGTATTCGATACTCTGATACTACGATAAAAATGTTGCTTTATGCCTAATCTAGAGATATTTTTTTAAAAAAATCGAGGATTAGGGAATTTTACCGGGATTTATGGATTTTTTGTCTTTCCAGGTCGGTATCAATGGGGGAGAGAGGAGCAGGCCTCCCTTGGACTCCGTATTTCCGCTTAGGGTCAGAGTTTTCACGCTCTGCAAAAAAAATACGGGTTATATAGACATACCGTCCGTTCCGGGCTCAGAGACCAAAAGTTCCGGGTTCTGCGGCCGTAGCTTCAGCTGCTCCGAGTGCTACACCCGGAACTTTCGGCCTCTGAGCCCGGAACGCGGACGGGATATCTATATATATAGACCGTAAGTGCGACTTCCATGACCGGAGTTTTTTTCAGTGCGTTTAGGGTCTTTTTGCTTGACACCATGATATTTTTCTGTAGTTTGAGGTATGCAATCTAAAAATTTTGATGTTGTTCTGTGTTGCAGCGATGTGCCGACAACTGGAGCAGATGAAAAAAGAGCGGCTGAAGGCGGCGGCGACGGCTCGGCAGGCCGGAAACGGAAGCGGGAACGGGAACGGGGGTGGCGACGTGGAAAACCACCGGAAAAACGCCGGCCCAGCCTCCTACGAGTGCGTCGCCCTCCACATCTCGCCCGACCTCGGCGAGAGGATCATGCTCTCCGGTGACCGGACACTCCTCGATGAGGTCAGTACAAAAAACCCACCCTCTCCTCTCGTTTACATCCCTTTTCACGGCGCTCATCAAGGCTGCTAGATTTTGCGGAAAACTTTTGATGTATTGCATGGGTTTAAATTGAGGAATTCAGCACTATCTGGCAACAGTGACGCTCATCCTTAAAGGGATCGGCTCCAAACCGTGTATGTCGTCTTTTTTCGGACGTAGAAACGCAACTCCATTCCACGATTATAAAATTGACTGGAACTATGAAAGTTCTTACAAGTATGTGCACGTTTAATTCCTGTCGAACATTTTTTTTTTTTATTTTTGCATGAGATCAGAAGAAAAATCAGCGAAATTCTCAGTCAGATATGCCCTGTCAGAAGCCTCTAGTTTGTAAGTGGGCTGGACGTTTAACGCACGCACGGTGGTAACCTCCGCGCTCCGTTTGGAGCGCCTTCAAATCCCGCGGATACCCTCCGCTCTGCCAGGCAGTTAGTTTAGTTGTCTATCCGAGACAAACCCAACTAAAGTTGCCAATTTTACTCCACGCACTGAACTCGCGAGTGTGGTAGAAAAACACGTCTGAATGAATTCTAAGCCTTTCCATCCATCTTTCTACACCATCGTAAAGCTCATGAATTTTACACAATCCCAAGCACTTAAATTGCAAAACCCTGGCGCATTCAAGCAGTGCTTCCATTTCCCGGAACTAGCACCAAATTCCGGAACTTTTCTAATTTTCCTGAATTTTTCCCGGAACTTTTGAAATTCCAGAAATGTTTGGAATCTTTTGCATTTTCCGGAACTTTTGACGAACATGGAATGGGAGCACTGCCTACAGGAGTTCCATTCTTGGATCCGAATTGATTTTTGGGGTTTTCTGTGTTGCAGGTATTTCCGGAGACGAATCAAGCGCTGATGGACGCCCGCTCGAGCGTGACGTGGAACCAGCATGACGCACGGCACGTGATCCGGTTCCCCCTGAACGGGTACTGCAAGCTCAACTCGGTGCAGGCCATCACGCGGCTCCTCAACGCCGGCTTCCAGGTCGCCGCCAGCAACGGCGGCGGCGTCGAGGGACAGGAGTTCTCCGAGTACCTCTTCATGCGCAAGGTCCTCCCGGTATGATACCGAGGGCGAGTCCACCCCCACAGCCGCCCCACCCCCC